GGGTAGGATCCAAGTTCACGGCCTCCCGGGTCTCACTCACCCAGGGCAGGGAGTCCAGGCAAGTGCCTTAAAGAAGTCGGGATGTGGTCCCAGGCTGGGGCCCTCATCCAGCAGGTGCAGGACCACACCACTAGGACTTTTGGCTGCATGTCTGGGGTGGTGGGTCCAGCCACGTAGCCTCCCCAGTCCTCCAGCTATCTGACAGTCTTCAGGAAATTCTGCCTAAATTAGCCGGAACCAGCTTTGATATTTGCAAAACAAGATCCTTATCTGGCACATGAGCCCACAATCGCTTGCAACAAGAATTTCAGCAGTACCATCTCCCGACTCTCTGCCTTCAAGGGCTCAGACTCCTGCCTTTGACTTTGGGCCAACCGTGCCCATACTGATGCCCAGCCCTCCAGCACACACTCTCAGTGTCTCCGTGTTCCGTCCCTTTCCCCACGTCTAATGGTTGCTGGTTGATACGCCCAGCATCTTCCACTTACCTCATGATAACCCTAGAAAGACTCATTCCATATACACGAGCAACTGTCCTTTTTCCACTACCTGCAGGTTTTGTCATTTATTTTCTCCAATTCAATGTTATTTCCTTGGGAATCCTGAGCCTCTGTTTACTAGCACTTTGAATATTTACTGCTTTTGTATCTGTTGGCTGTGGAAGCAGTCTGCCTTGGGAATGGCAATAACCTTGACAAAATGTAGAACAGTAATCAGACCAACTAAACGTTGTCTGCTTTCTATTATCAGATGTGCTAAGTGAGAAGATATTACTCCTTCCCGGCTGGCTGCTTTCTCCACACCCACCCCTTGGTACACCCCTGCCGATGGCGAGGTGGAATTAATGATATTCATGCAACACTGAAGCTGAGCCAGAACTGAGGTATTTTGCGGTAAAGGGGCATTATGTCTACCACTGACTCTCAAATTATGCTGATATAAAACAACTCAGAGGAAACACAAAAACACGAAGGTAGACACAGCAAAGCACTGTGGACCGACGAGTCCCCAAGCCCTCCAACACCCGTCACTGGCAGGAGGACAGGGGCTTCTGTTTTGAGTTAACCGTGAGCACTCATAAAAGGGAAGATCCTAGAAGGGGCCTCTATGATGCCTCCGAAAGTGGCTTGCTAACCAGGAAGGCTGTGTGGACGAACAGGTACCAGGAGCACCAGTAACATCTAGCCCCACCCCGGGGTGGCATGAAGGACACACAGACTGAGGACAGGAGAGACCCAGGCATTTTCTGGCCCGCTCCATGTGTGACCTGAGCCTGTCCTCCCTTTGGCCACAAGTGGAGTTCGGGGCCTGGGGCACCAGTAAGCCACTGGGGGAGAAGGGGGCTGACTCTGCACCCAGACCCTGCCCGAGAGACTGGGATGGCTCAGAGCCAGGCTGCATGGCCCTCAGACAGCAAGGGGTCAGACAATTCGCCCCCAAGAGGCCCCGTCTATGGGCAGGAGAGGCAGAGGTGATGATCACTGGAAGTCTCCTCGGCCGCTGGTCCCCGAGCTCCAGCCACAGGGCCTGGGTCTCTGCACTGTGGCCGGACTCCCCACAAGTTTGCGTTTTCCTCCTTCTCACTGGGATGTAGCTCTCCTGCCCCAGGTTGTTGGGGGACCTTGCCCTTCCAAACCCTGCGGAACAAGCTCTTCTGTCCTTCAGCTTCCACCCCAGCCCTGACTCCTGGCAGCTTTCTAATATCTTCCAGAGAATTCCGAGCATAGTTACGGCTACCATTTCTTGAGTGTGTCAAGCCTGTGGGTTTTAACCCACGTCATCTTGCGTAATCCTCACAGCATCCTGAGGGACAGGTGCTGTCCTTGCTGTTTTGCAGACCGGGAAGCTGGGGTCTGGAGTGCAGAGTGTCTGGTCTAGGCCCACACAGCCAGCTTGCAGCAGTACGAACAAGGATTCTCATCCGGGCTTCACTCTCCCCTGTCTTCCCTTGCCTTCTCTCTCCTTGGGAGTGTGCTGGTCTCTGGGAGCAGATCCAGGCCTGGGGGCTTGGAGACTGTGGATGGCCACACACAAGCTGCACGGTTTACTGGGTGGGGTGCAATCCCAGCCCCTGCACTGGGGACCTCCCCGCCAAACACACACACACACTCTGGAGGGGCTCAGACCTTTCCTCTCACTCCTGGCCATGGCCTGGCCCAGGTCCAGCCAAGCAGAGCCAGGTGAGAGGTGTCGGACCTGGGGAAGTTCCTAGGTAAGTGTGGCAACTCTTTCCCCTCCAGATGTTTGCCGTACCCGGCTCTCCATGTTTGCTGAGCCCAATTACCGGTGGGTTCTGGGCCGTCTCCACTGCCTAGGCTACAGAGCAGTCCCTCCCTCCCATCCAATGCCTCAGTGTCCCCAGGCTCATCTCATCCTCCTCTTCTGGTCTCTGTAGGCAGTAGAGCAAGGGGAGGGGCTGGGGTGGGGACTTCCGGTGAACAGTGAATGTTCCAGGAGCTGCTCAGGTGATGTTGGTGAAGACCTGGCTCGGGGCGACTGCCCTTCTGTGGCTCTCAGGAGTCAGCAGGGGGAGGAAGGGCTATGGGGCTAATTATATACTTCAGGCCCTGTGAGCCCTGCACAGACTCTAGGACCTGAGAGATCTCCCCAAAGGCTCCCATGGGTCCCAGAGGCACTCCCTTGGCAGATTTGCTGTTGTGCAGAGGTGGGCCCAGAATACCCTGGTCTGGGCAGATGCCCACCAGCCAGGGTCAGGAGACTGAAGTGTACACCCAGGAAACTTGGGACGCATTTACTCCAGGCCTAGCCCTGCAGGTATCCCCAATGGACATGGCCCTGGAGAAGCTGCCTCAGGAGAGAGCAGGGAGGTAGCAGGATGTCCCCAGTTCTGATGGGCCCTGGGACATGCTGGCATGGCAGTCTGGGCTCTCTGAACAGTGCGCCTCTCCTTTTGGGGGGCTACCCTTTTATTGAGCCTGGCTTGGTCTTTGATTGCTGTTAATACTGTGAATGAGGCAGCCAGCTGTAAGAATTCCTGATTGGCAGGAGCCGTTCTGCCTCTTTAAGGCAGGGATGGGTCTTTCCTTTCTTTCCTGGGCTCTGAGCACCTCCAATGGGTCCACCTGGCTTTCAGGATGCTCAGAGTGTGTGCACAGTGGGGCTTGTGCTTGCGCGTGTGCGAGTGTGATGCAGGGATGGGGGCAGGTGTCAACAATGCTTATCACATGCTAAATGCTGCCTGTGACCCCACGGTGGGCTTTCCCCAGTGACGCTGCTTACCCCTCATTTTCCCTCTGATCTATGCTACGATAGCAGCCTGGACCTTGAAGGTTCTGGGTGGGGTCACTCATCTGGACTTGAGTGGCTAATTCTCAAGGAAACCTCAGAATTCTTTTCCCCAAGGACATGGGGACCCATCTGCCTGGGCCGGCGTTTACATGTGGAGTTCCTGGGAAGGCAGGCCTGCTGGAGGCTCTGAGAGCGTATGACTCCCAGTCCCCAAGGCCAGACCCTGACTCATGGGGGGGGGGGGGGGGGCTGGGGAGATTTGGGGGCAAGAAAGTTGCACTTCCAGTTGTCATTACATGGACGTTTTTGAGTGCTGGTTGCGGCGCCCGGTGCTAAATCTTTGCGCTGATGTCTCAGGGCACCCACAGTCGCACATGCTATAGGAAGGAGAACCGAGACACAGAGGGGCTGATCTCTTCCCATTCTCACTGCTAACCAGCAGCCTTCCTGGGTCCTGGGGCTTTGTACTTAACCCCTCCCAGTGCTTCTCACAGTGTGATTCTGGAGCTTGGGGCTCCCTCCCTGTGTGTCAAAAATGAGGGTTGCTGGACTTTGCCCAGACTAAATGAATCAGACTCTGGGAAGAGGCCCAGGAGCCAGCATATTGGCCTCTAAGATCCATGTGTCTAGGGTTCCTAGAAAGTTCTTGATTAAATAACTTCCAACTAAGGAGCTGGTTGGAGGAGAGGGCAGAGCAGGGAAAGGGCTCCCCGCTTGGGTTTACATGCGTACAGCTTGGGGGAGCAGGAGGAGGCTGGGATCCAAGCACTGGAGACTCTTCCCTACACTTCCCTCCTTCCATGTCAGGCACCCTGTGGTGGGGGTGGGAGGGATGGAGCAACATTTGAATGGGTGAGAGGGAGGGTCTTTGGGGGTGAGGAATATAGTGAGGGGGGACCACGAAGGCAAGTGGGGCATGGAGGTCCAACACCAGGCTAGACTTTGGTGTGTTCTTTTTCAGAAGGAAGTGTGGAGTCCCTGGGAAGGTTTTCCAGCAGAGGAAGAACCTGGCTAGGGCTTCAGGAAGAAGACTGGGCGGTGGGAGGACAGACTGGAGGCAGAACCGAGCTTCTGCTGCAGTCCTGGGAGGGGAGGACGACCTTTGCGGGAACCGTAGGGAGAGGGAGTGGAGAGTGCTGCCCTGGGCTGCGCGGGAACTGTAGGGAGAGGGAGTGGAGAGTGCTGCCCTGGGACTTGGGCCCCGGGGGGAGGCGGGGGGAGGAGGGGAGACCCCACGTGAAGTCTAGGAGGGGGGATGAGACCCTTTGGAGCATGTGAACTTTGAGGTGCCTCCGAAATGTGGGGCAGGAGGAGATGGGGGACTGGAGAGACACCACAATAAGGAGTTAGGCTAAAAGTCAGCACGCCGGAGCCAGGGGCTGGGGGGGGAGAGTGTGAGACCCAGACCAGTCGCAATTCACCTCTCTGAGGCTCGGTTTTCTCATTTGTAAATGGATTGTTGTGTGGGTTCCATGAGGACTCCGTAATGGTGCTCCTGGGAATGTCTCGTCAAACGCTGTTAACAACCGCCCTCGTTTGGGGGGGCGTGGGGACCCCAGATGAGGGTGTCTGGGTCCACCGCAGCGGCAAGAGCACCGCCCCCTGGTGGTGGTCCCTTTCGGGGCAGCGGGGCCACCGGCAGGCGGGGCGACGGGGAGGGCTACTTGTGGGCCGGCTGCCGTCTGTCCGCCAGTCTGCTGGCTCCCGGCGCCGCGTCTGTTGGTCGGTCTCGCCACCCGCCCCGCGCCTCGATGTCGCCGGCCGCAGAAGGCATGGTAGGGGACCGCCGTGCTGCTGCGGCCAAGGGGGCTTGGGCGCGGGGCTGGGAAGAGCGCACAGAGGGTCTCCCCGGGGCGGTAGGGATCGGAGGGCCCCGTCGAGGCGCCCCACTTCTAGGGGGATTCGCAGCCTCCGGGTTATTTCTGTCTTTTTGCCGGACACCGGCGCTGCGACCCTTCCCGGTGGCGCAGAGATCCCCCCCTCGAACCCTGGTCGGCACCTGCGCGCCGCCCGCTCATCCCCCCACCCCGCACCCCACCAGGCTCCCTGCTGGGCTCCAGCCTTGTAGGCGGTCAGGTGAGCAGCCTGGGTGAGTGAAAATGCCCCTCCATCCCAGAATGCGGAGCAGGTATGGGATTAACAAGGTTGGGGGAGACTTCTGGGTGGAGGTTCTGGTAAGGAGGCAGATATATATATATATTTTTT